TGTCTTCTGGGTGTGCTGGCTTCGGGGTCTCCCAGGAAGTGAGGCCAAGGTCAGCCACTGCCTGTGTTCTGCCCAGGGCCACCGAGCTTGAGTCACAAAGTTATCTGAAGATTGTTGCTAGCTCGGAGGTACCCAGAAGAGGCCAAGCAGTGAGCCAAGGCGAGCTGCCACTAGTGCTGGGCCTGGGGCCACTTAGCAGGAGGTACAGAGCATGCCATAGCCAGATGCTGCTTATTGGAGATGTTTTAAGAAAGCTGAAATATCCAAGAGAAGCCATTTGTATGGAAAAGCTACTGCAAACAGCTTGGGTGGGCTTGAAAGTCCAGTGGGACAGGGTCTCGGGGAATCACCAAGGCAGGGCAAACAGTGATAACCAAGTTGATGGAGACTCGGCTGTGGCCACCTGCCAGTTCTGTAGGGTAAGGGCTCATCAAAGGAACGATGGCCTCTGCCAGCATTTCTAACAGAAAACTGGCCCTCAGCTCTTTCCCTGATGCCCAAATAATTCAGTTCCTCCCCATAGATCTCTTGTGCCTTTCAAGTTGCTGCCCCAGTGCTGGGGCTCAGAGGGAGTGAGTCTGAGTAAATCCATGTGCAGGGCCTGTTAGCGGAATGGCTGGACGCCAGCAGCCCTCTGGCTCACTCAGCCACAGTCCCAGCTGGTTTTTACAGCCAGGAATTACGGGGCCTTCTCTTCCTGGCACTGGAACCCTGGGCTGGGGGCCTGCTGAGGGACTGGGATACCTCTATCGTCAGCTCCACAGCTGAGATATCCCTCCCAATTTTTAGCCACCATCCCATGGATGTGGGACCTGCCAGTTCCGAAGCTCCCTCCTACCAGTCTTGCTGTGGCCTATCCTTTTTATCTTTAGTTGTAGGACTTGTGTTCAACTAGATTTCAGGCGGTCTGAATAAAGGTTTTTTCTGTAGTTTTGTTGGATTTTTTTTTTTTTTTTAAATCAAATCCCATTGTTTTCAAACAGGCCCAAACAGACTGAATGGCTTGGCTAAGTTCACAGAGCTAAGTGGTGGCAGGGCCAGTTCGCATTTAGACATCCCCATTGGTCTAACACCAACTAACCAAGCTGCTCACTTCTATTCTATTATGTAAACACATTAGTTTTTATAGCTATTAGCCCAACTAATATTAGCCCCATGTTTTCTGCCTTTGTTTCACAGGTACCTCATTCAACAAATATTTATCTGCCAAGATACAAAATAATTTCCTAGTTTAGTTTACAATTTGCTGCAATAAATGGTAAAACCTAAATTTAAAAAAACAAAACAAAACAAAAAACAGTACCCAGTACTAATACTTAAGTGCTGGTAGGATAGTAATGTTTAATATTTAATAGACAAACCTGTCTAGAATTACTTTGAGACTACAGCATCATACAAGCAATCACTGTCCTCAGAAGAGGGAAGAGAATGTGCCAATTATAAACACTAGACAGGAAAGTTATCAAACAAGAATAACACGTGTATGAAATTCAAAAGATGAAAACAATTTCTAAATTAACATTTTGTGGTGGGGTTAAAACAGGTACATGCTTTGTTTCTAGAAGTTTAAAAAGGCACACTCAATACTTAAACTTCTCTGCAAAGTACACTTAATTTTTTTTTTTTAAGTTTTAAACATAGTTTATATAGAGACTCTGCTATACTAGGGGCTTGAATCATATCAGGGAGTTTCTCAAACTAAGGAGAAAAAAAACCCTGAAATTAAGGAAAGTGGAATTAAGCCAGTGTTTTCTGTGTAGGAGATAATTCACCAGGTGCCATCATCACTCACAGCAAAGTCCCCGAGTGCGGAAAGGCCGGCAGGAGCCACCGATTGCCCTGACAACCGCTGGAGCGAGAGAGTGCTGACAGGCAGAAATGCTGCCACCAAAACGTAACCATGGATACCAAGGCCAGCAGTGAAAGGTAAGACAACAGGTTCCTCCTCTCTTATGTTTCAGGTGCAATCTATTCTTTAAAATGCAATTCTGTTACACTAACCTCAATTTCAACCAACTTCACACACATACACAAAAACACTAGCAGATCACGTGAAGGATGAAAATTATATCTTTCTCAAAGTTACTATATTCCTATAAGGCACACTCATAACTCAGAAAAGGCCAACTACAATTGGGAATACTAGACAAGTCATTGCAAGCTGTGGGGTTGCAAACCCCACTGGTCTTTCCCCGCCCCTGCTGTTTTCATGGGCTCTCCGGGTTCTGAATGTTTGTGGCAAAAATGTGCAGAAACAGTACTTATCTTCAGCCACAGGGCTTTTCACATCAAATGGGGCGACCGCAAAACAGTGCAACTTTAGAATGAAAAATGTCCCTACTGCCCGTTGATCTGATTTGCAGGAAATGATTTAGTAATCCTAGGTAAAACTCCTAAGCAGTCAGTATATTTCCACCAGTTTCTTTATGGTACAATTTCAAAGAGGCATAGAAAGAAGCAAATTCTTAGGTTTGTCTTTAGTCTTTGGGGTGTCTTTTTTTATTTTTTTAATTGATTTCAGAGAGAAAGGGAAAGGGAGAGAGAATCATCAATGATGAGAATCACTGATCAGCTGCCTCCTGTCGCCCCCTAGGTTTGTCTTTAGTCTTTGGGGTGTCTTTTTTTATTTTTTTAATTGATTTCTGAGAGAAAGGGAAAGGGAGAGAGAATCATCAATGATGAGAATCACTGATCAGCTGCCTCCTGTCGCCCCCTACTAGAGATGGAGCCCATAACCTGGGCATGTGCCCTTGACAGGAATCGAACCCAGGATCCTTCAGTCCACAAGCCAGCACTCTATCCACTGGGCCAAACCAGCTAAGGCCAGGGAATCTTTTACCAGACAAATAAAAAGAAGTATTTCCACTTCTAAAGTTCAGCAAAATTTATTTAATAGCATAGACAGTCAAGACTTAAAAACCTTCGAATTAGAAACAGTCAAATGTAAGGCTTCTTAAAACGATTAGTTAAGGGCAAAGTACTAACCAAAGTTCTAGGGCAAAGTTCCCCTAGATCAGGCCTAATAAACCCAACTGTATAATTTCCTACTAGTAGAAGAGCACCCGCACCCTTGCTGGGGCATGCAATGGCACTCGCTACCCTAGAGGTGACATCAGGTGGGGAATTTGGAAAAGAGGCTCAGAGTTGATTATTTCAGAGAGGACAGCCAGTCTAGGGTTCCATTAACAATTCTACTCAAAATGTCAGATTTGATTTTACAAAAAACAAACAAACAAACAAACAAACACCCCTGAGTCATTTATGTTTAAATGGTGTACGGTAAAGGGTGTTCCTTGTATTGTGTTGTTTTACTGTTTGTTATTCCATTGTAAAGTGCAACACATAAAAACGCATTTTACCATCCTAACCGGTTTGACTCAGTAGATAGAGCATCCACCTGCGGACTGAAGGGTCCCAGGTTCCATTGCGGTCAAGGGCGTGTACCTCGGTTGAGGGAACATCCCCAGTGGGGAGTGTGCAAGAGGCAGCTGATCGATGATTCTCCCTCATCGATGTTTCTATAATTCTGTATCCCTCTCCTTCCTCTCTGTAAAAAAAAAAAAAAAATCAATAAAAAAATATATGTATTTTTTAAATGCATTTTACCAAGTGGAAAGACTACTTAAATCTTACTCTAATTAGGGGGTAATGGTCAGATATGTACACATATAATACCTTAATATAAAAAATGGGGAAAAATAAATAAATCTACTCTAATTAAATCTACCATTTTACACTTTAAGGAGTTGGCCCCTATTCCCAGGTATCAGTAACACAGCACCCTCCCTCGTTCTCTTTCAAACATTCAGGGGAGGCATTTAAAAAAATGCGTTTAAGATCCTTTTGTAATAGTTCAAAAGCGTGGTGATGGCGTGTTGGCGCTCTGGTGTGAGATGTGCCTCCCGCAAATCTTGTTACAACACGGGCTCATCACCCGTCTGGCGTGGCACACACACACACACACACACACACACACACACTCCCTGCACCCACCTCTGAGGCCCTTGAGAGAATTGGAGGGGAAAATAAACAGGAAGTGAAAGTGACAAGACGCCAAAACCGGTTTGGCTCAGTGGATAGAGCGTGGGCCTGCGGACTGGGGGGGCCCGGGTTCGATTCCGGCCAAGGGCACATGCCTTGCTTGCGGGCACATCCCCCGCGGGGAGTGTGCGGGAGGCTGCTGATCAGGGAGGCAGCTGATCAATTTTTTTTTTTTTTGGCTCTCTGTCCCTCTCCCTTCCTCTCTGTGAAATACCAATAATATATATATATATATATATATATATATATATATATATATATATATATTATTTTTATTTTTTTTTTAAAGTGACCAGACATCGGCCTTGCAGCTGTCTGCCCTTCTTGCAGACTGCACAGCTACAGGATAAAACATTCTTTCCTCGGTCACCATCGGAAACTAACGTGAGGCGGGGGTGGGGCTGGAACTCAGAAACCCCGCCCTTCCGAGCCGCCCGGGGCCGGAGGGCAGGCTCTTTTCCGGGGCTGCCCCCCCCCCCCCCGCACCCCGAGGCCGCTCCGGCGCCCGCTTCCTGCCTCCCGCCCAGGGCGCACCCTCCTCCCGGCGCCCCGCCGCGGTGCCCGCGCCGCTCGGGACCCACGGGCTCCGGGAGCCGCACGAGAGTGGCTCCCCCTCCTCCGGGGCGCGGGGCGCCGTCCCCCCTCCGGCCGCCTCAGCCGTCGGGGCGCGGGCTCCCTCCGCCGCCAGCCCCTCGGCCCCGGCCGCCGGCCCCTGCCTCGCGAGCGCGGTTGGGACGCGGAGAAACCGCCTTCCGGGACCCCCGGCCGTTCCCCGGGGTCCCCGCACCCCCAACCAGGTCGGGGCGTCGGCCCCGGCGCGCGCCCCCCGCCCCCGCCTCCCGCCCGCGGCCCGGCGGCCGCCGCGGGGAGCGGACTGGGCGGCCGCTCGGCTTCCCCGCCACGCGAGTGACCCGCAAACTTTTCCCGCCGCCGCCCCCGGCCCGGGCCCCGGCTCTCACCTGCGGCGGCGGCGGCGGCGGCGGCCGCGAGCCCCCCCGGCCCGGGGCGCGGGGCGCGGGCGGGCGCAGGCGGCGGGGGCCCCTCAGCAGCAGCATCCTGCGCGGGGCGCCTCCGTCCCGCCGTCACCCGGCCCCGCCTGCCCCCGCCGCCTCCCCCGCGGCTGGGCGGGCGGAGCAGGGTGTGCCCCTCTTCCACTTCGCGTCCGTGCACGTCCCGGCGCGAGACTGTTTTCTCTCCTCCGACCGAAAAAAAAAGGGGGGGGGGGAGCGCGCGAGCGAAGCGCCCTGCGCCCCGCGGGTTTCGGGGCGGCGCGCCGCCCGGCCCCCCCCCCCCCCCCGCCTCCTCCGCGGGGCCCGCACCTGGGAGCTCCCGGTGGAGCCGCCCCGTGAGTTAGGGGCTCCCAGAGCGGCTCTCTGGAAGTTGGGCCCCTGGAAGGGGGTGGGCCGAGGCTCCAGCTCTCAGTTGGCGAGGGGGCTGCGGTGAGCGCGGGGTCCCCCATCCCCCCTATCCTCCCCCCACCCTCCCCCGCCTCTGCACGCACCAGAGGCTGGCCACCCTGAGCGCTTTGGGACAGTCGCACAGCCAGGAACTTTGGCAGCAGGCTTCTAAGTGGGGGAGCTAAGGGACTGGGACTTGGTCTCCCCAAACACCTGGGAAACCTAACGCTTTGTCATGTAGGAGTCACCTAATGGCCTCAACGTGTAGAGCTGCCCATCAGTGTGTCCCGTGCCCCTGCAGCTCTGCTCTGGGCGGCACCCCCACAAGGACAGCTTGCGTTTCCCAGATCACCGAGACTGGGGCTTCACTCTCAATGGTCCATGCTAGAAGTTACCCTCCCCAACCCACCCCCCGCAAAGGAATTAATACCCGAAAATACCGAAAATAAGACAGTGTCTTATATTAATTTTTTCTCCCAATGTTGCGCTAGGTCTTATTTTCAGGGGATGTCTTATCTTTCCATGCGCTATGTCTTATTTTCGGAGGATGCCTTACTTTCGGGGAAGCACGGTAGCAACGTAATCCAAGCTATCACATATCTTACAGTAAGTTGCTAGGTAAAACACCGGCAGCCCGGTTACTTTTGAATTTCAGATTAACAACTGCTAATTTTTAAAATTAAGTACTATGTCCCAAATATTGCCTTGGTCACACTCTTTAAAAAAAAAAATGAAACATTTGAGATATTTTTGTTTATCTGTAATTCAAATGAAACCAGGCATTCTGTATTTTTATTTGCTAAATCTGCAAGAGGCTTGCGTTACTGGATCAATGCTGGCCAACAATGCAACAAGTGGCAAAGCTCTCCTTTCTTTATTGAAAAAAGATGGAGATTTCTAGGATAGCAAAAATTTGTAAACTACGTTTCAAAGGCAGATTCACATGTTAACTAGCAGTTAACTCGCATTTCTTTTTTCTAATTGATTTTCAGAGAGAGAGAGAGAGAGAGAGGATGGGAGAGAGATAGAGAAACATCAACTTGTTCCATTTATTTATGCATGCATTGCTGCTTGTATGTGGCCTAACCAGACATCAAACCTGAAATTTGGGCATACCTGTGGAAGCTCTAACCAACTGAGCTAGCAGGCCAGGACTGCCTTTGCATTTCAAACTAAAATTGCCCCAGGCAGGTAGTAAACAGTAAGTCCACAAGGGAAGTAATTTACCTGAATTCTTTCCTTCTATTAGCTAGTGCTCCAAAAGACAGACTGGTTTATGTTGGCTGTCATGAATGATTCTGCAATGAACAGTGGGACTACAGCTATCTTTTTGAGATACTGATTTAATTTCCTTTGGCTATATGCCCAGCAGTGGGATTGCTGGATTAAGGCAGATCTATTTTTAATTTTTTTTTAAAGAACTTCCATACCGTTTTCCATATGACTGCAGCAACTTACATCCCCACCAACAGTGTAACGGAGTTTCCTTTTATCTAAAAGCCAAGATATGGAAATAACCTTAATGTCCACCGAGGGAAGAATGGATAGAGGAAAGGTGACATATAACCATGTCTATTATATGTTATATATGCTCTATTATCTACTATATGCTATTAAATACATATATATACAATGGAATGTTTTTCAACAATAAAAAGAAGGAAATGCTGCCATTTGTGACAACATGGATGAACCTGGAGGACATTGTGGTAAGTGCAGTTAGTCAGGCAGAGAAAGGCAAATACTATATGATCCCACTTTTACATGGAATCTAAAAAAGTCAAACTCATAGAACCAGAGAGGAGAACGGTGGTTGCCAGAGTCTGGGAGGTGGGGAAAATGGAGAAAGGTTGGTCAAAGGATATAAACTTTCAGTTATAAGAAGTAATAAATTGTAGGGATCTAATATGACCCAAATAATGCTGTAAAATAAACTAAAATGTGCTAAGAGAGTATATATTAATTGTACTTACAAGACCCCTCCCCAAGAAAAAGCTAACTGTGAGGTGATAGAGGTGTTAAATAACTTAGTTGCGGTAATCATTCACTATATATGTAAAATATCTATATATATAAAAGCCAAGCGACTAGAATGACCCGTCCCTATGACAGGCACTGCTGCAGCCAACTGGCCTGATTGGACCCAGACGGGCCCCTCTGAATTTCCTGCAGCCCCTCCCACCAGCCAGCCCAGCTCCCGATCGCCCCCCCCACACCCTGATTGGGAATGGGGCCAGCTGGCCAACCTCCCTCGTCCCCTCCCCCTGCCAGCCTGGCACCCAGGGCCCCCATCAGGGTGGGCTGGCCAGACTTCACCCTTGCACAAATTTGTGCACCGGCTCTCTAGAGTGTGTGTGTGTGTGTGTGTGTGTGTGTGTGTGTATCAAGTCATCACATTATATACTTTAAATATATACACTTTTTATTTGTAAGTTATATCTCAATAGAGCTGGGAGAGGAGAGAAAAATAAAAATTTTATTAGGAGGGAAATGAAGAAGAGGAGGAGAAAATGTCCAGAATCTGCCCCTACGTATCACTGTGATACTTTTTAAAAATTATTTTATTGATTGATATTAGGAGCGAGAGAAAAGTCCATTTGTTATTTCACCTTCCTGCTGCTTCTTGTATATGCGTTGACTAGGGATCAAACCTGCAATCCTGACTTGTTGAGAGGATGTTCCAACCAACCAAGCTACCTGCCAGGGCCATACTTTTCTTTTTTCTTTTTCTTTTTTTTTTTTTTATTTTTTTATTTTTTATTAAGGAATTATATGTGTACATATCTTATCATTGCCTCCTCCCCCAACTCCCATGCATGCCCTCCCCATACTTTCCTTAATGATAGCTTTCACCTACATTCCCTTTAACTGCCTTTTCATAGGACAATTTTGTAATACTTCCTGTAGAGAAAATAGAAAAGATAACTTTCTCTGACATGCTGACTAGTTTTATGTCACTGATAGTTGAGCAAAGTGATCCTAAGCTTTATAACTCACTATTGGTAATGTGTTAATTCTTAGGATTGTTCTTAAATTTGGGGAAACTTCCATCAAATGTTTTTCAGATATGAACAGCAATATTTGAAAGAGTATTTGCCAGCTGAAAGTGGTTTGGCTCAGTGGATAGAGCGTCGGCCTGCAGACTGAAAGGTCCTGAGTTCGATTCCGGTCAGGGGCATGTACCTGGGTTGCAGGCACATCCCCGGTGGGGGGTATGCAAGAGGCAGCTGGTAGATGTCTCTCCCTCAACGATGTTTCTATCTCTCTCTCTCTTCCTCTCTGTAAAAAATCAACAAAATATATTTTTTTTAAAAAAAGAGTATTCCCCAGACTAACTTCTGGGTCCATTCATTTCAAAGGCCATTTCTTTATTACTAGCCACATACTCCTCATAACATGCATATTTCAGTACAAAGTCTGGCCCTGCACTTTTGGCTGACAACACTGGGTAAGTTGGTCCAGTAGGCGACAGGGGTATCCTTGAAAACCATTCCTACAGGGGCCTGGCTACCAATAACTTAATAATACTGGAAATGACAGTAAGGCACATTAAATACCCCAAACTAAATGTGACTCCAAGTCAACTTACTCTCTGCTGGATATTGATTCATGGGTGGCTGTGCCAGAGGGGTGGCTGTACAGGAAAGAGATCATGGTCTTAACTGAGTTCAGTTAAAATACCTTACTTTTAGAAATATCACAATAACATATCCCCTGGTGAACACACTGCTAGGAACACACCCTCCAAATGCCTTAGAAGAGGCTTGTGCAAGCGAACAGCCCCGAAGCTTAAGCTAAATCACCTTTGATGACACAGAAGGCCCCCGTAAATGCTATTATTATTACTCCAAACGGTTTCACAACACGTAGGACCTGCCCCTTTTGCAGTATGTATCACATTTTGTTTATTTATACTCACATCTGGCTCTCCAGCTAGGTTATAAATGCAAGGCAGGTGCTTGGCTTTATTAAATCTTTGTGCCCGAGTGCCTAGCACAGTTCTTGCTTCACATTAAGAGACTCCGTCGACAACCAGCAAATAAAATTATGCTAATGGAAAGGAAGCGATATTGCAAGAACAGCTTAAAAGAAATGTGACTGAGAACGCAGCTGGGAGCTCTGGTTGCAGATAGGAAAGAACAATGTGCAAAGACAGGAAGTGCTTGTGTTAAATGCTCTAGGGAAAGCATCCTAGACCTCGGGACTAAAGAGAAATGCCAAGTAAGTACAGGAAGGGCCTTCAACACAAACACTGGTGTGATTCCATTTACATAAGACCTCCAGAAAAGGCACATCTATAGGGATGGAAAGTACATTAGTGATTGCCTGAGGCCAGAGCAGGAATTGGAGCACCACAGACGAGCATGAGGAACCTTTGGGGGTGATGGAAATGTTCAGGAAGGGGTTGTGGTGATTGTTGCATAAGTCTGTAAATTCGCTAAAGATCATTTGTACACTTTAAATGAATGAAATTTATGATATGTAAATTATACCTCAATAAATCTACTTACATTTTTTCCCTGAAAAGTGAGAGCAGAGATTCAAATGTTCAAAGGCCCTATATATGTATAATACAAGGTGTGTACATATTACAAATGTACAATATGTAAGTTGTACTTACTTTAGCATTATTATTTTCTTTTTCTTTTTTATTAATC